CCCTCAAAACAGCCTGAGGACCGTAGTTCAAACCAACTCCCTGGGGTTGGTTTTCCTGGACTTTGAGTGGCCCCACCCCGCTCTGTTTATCTTTTCAAAACCCAAGGGCAGGGGCTACACAATCATCAGTGATTGGTAAAACTGTGTAGGGGAGGTGGATCAAAATTTTTGTTCCCATTTGAAATATAAAGAAACCAGAACCAAGATTAAGTAATTTAGCAAGGCCAAGAAGAGTCAGTGGTAGAGAATAGAAGCCCAGCGCCCTGACTTCTTGTCTCAAAGCACTGGGTTTGACTACTTGCGGTAATTACCCTATTGCAGGGGTTTTCAGCTTTTTGGGTCACTGTACCCCCAGTGACTGGATGCGGGGGGGTGGAGTTAGGGGGTGGTGTGTGGCTAGGCACCAAGTGGGAGGGGGCCAGAGTGACGCACAGCTAGACGCTGAACTAGGCGGGGGAGGTGCACCTGGCCAGCTGCCAAGCACGGGGGTAGCGCGTGGCCTGATGGGGAGTGGCGGCAGGTGCCACATTTGACTTTCCCCTGCCTCCTGTATCTGGCCAGGCAGGCAGCACCTACGCAGGATGGTGCATGGCAGCACTTCGTCCCTGCCTGCCTGCACCTACCCCCTAGGGCCTTCTCAAGTACCCCCAGTTGACAACCTCCGCCCTATTAGAGAGGTGTAAACTATAGACATTAAATATAATATTGTCTACTTACTGCAAGAAAATAATTTGGAACAAATGACCTCCATGAACACAATAACTGAAGTCTTTTTATTGTATTGCTCTGGTACCTGGTAGGCAGTTCATGAGTGTTCCAGCCACTCTTGAAACTTAGTGGAAATCTGTCCATTCCCTTCCAGCATGATGCTCAGATGGATTATTATGGTACTCGGCTAGCAACCTGCTCCTCGGACAGATCTGTGAAAATCTTTGATGTAAGGAATGGAGGGCAAATCCTCATAGCTGATCTGAGAGGGTGAGTGCTTTAAATATCAAAATTTAAGTAATGTACTGACTGTTGACATAATACTTCAGTCATCTCTCTAGTGAGGAAGGGTTTGTAAAAACTGATGTGCAGCTACTCGCCAGGTATGTCCACATGTTGCTGTACAGTGACTAAAAAATGGTGCAGTAACCGCCTGTACTGTCATATGGGCGTTGCACGCTTAAATTTCCCTGCTATGTCACCACAGCGGTGCGCTATAAGCGGGAAGTGTGCCACTATGGAGATGTAGCTAGCGAGCATGTGTAGACCCATGTGATCACTACATCGCTGTAGCGCACCCACCTTGTACTACACAGTATGTATCCTGGGAAGTAGTGTGTCTGGTTGTCTTTAAACTTGCATTACAGTGAATGGGGGAGAGGTGGAAAGTGAGTTACTTGTAACTCAGCTTTTACTCTCACTGAAACTTTGACCCCCACATTCCCAGAAATAAATATATTCCTAATAACTGACATGTGAGCAAACATTGGGAGATCTTATCCCAACTACTGTATCCTAAAACCAGTTCCATTGGCTAGCAATAATGCATAAGTTTCATTGTTCTTTTTTTCCCCAGCAAGACATCATAAAGGTGTTTACTTGAATTAATTTCAAACAAATATTGTTGTGAAACAAGCAAGAATAAAAGGGAATTATTCTCTCTCTCTCTCTCTCTCTCTCTCAATTGATGCTTTTTTTTTTTTTTTTTTACAGCCATGAAGGCCCTGTGTGGCAGGTTGCCTGGGCACATCCCATGTATGGAAATATTCTGGCTTCCTGTTCCTATGACAGGAAGGTTATCATCTGGAAGGAAGAAAATGGCACTTGGGAAAAGACATACGAGTACACAGGTCATGACTCCTCAGGTATGTGGTGGTCTAGGTGGACACAGAGGGTCAAGTTGAATCTGACTGAATTTTTTTCTTCATCTATTCTGTAGTATGTAAGCAACATATGTGTTCTCTGGGGACAGGAGAATGGCTCCAATAAAATCCTCTTTGTATCTTCTCCCAGGGCTGCACATGCTAGCAGTAGCTTTCCAGTCCTGATGAGAAGGGACAGTTTTTGGAATCTAAACACCATAAATCCACAGTGTGTTGTGTTGTGCTCCCACAAAGCACCAATCTGGTGCAAATACACGAGAACAAAAGAGCTGATAGTGATTTTTCCCCTTTGCTTGCTATATGTCATAGCAGAGGTCTGCTCTGGTCAGCTTTTGAAGTTGATGCTGAACATTCAGTTTCTGTTCTAGGATCAGTGGTGTTCTCAGCAATGACAGGAAACTTAATATTTTGAACTCTGATTTAAAAACTCATCCCTCCCACTTCTTTATATCCCTTATTGGTTTTAAGGCAGCTTCTCGTTAACAGCAGGAAGTCAGACAAGATAAATGATTCTCAACCAGGCTGCCTTGAGATCCTTTCATGGGAACCACTGGTTGCCACGCAGTGTTAGTTAGGTCTGTTACGTGTGCAGACATGATTCATAAGACAAATCCAGAATTTTCAAATAGGAATCCATAGTGATAAAAACATTCTGACCTGTTGTAATCTTCCTGAGCTCTTTGCAACAGAAGAATTATACTGTTTTCTGTAGTCTAGAAAAGAGAAAACCAAAAACTGGATTTTTATGATAGGTGCCTCAATTCTGTCAATGTGTGTCTTGGGTCTAAAAAGGTTGAGAATCATTGGACTAGATGATTAAAGAAATACTTTTTATTAACATTTTTTAATTCAAGTCACCCATTCATGGCTTCCAGTGTTTTTGCAGCTGGTCACTTTTATGACAATCTTGTATTTACTATTTCTGACAGTGAATTCTGTCTGCTGGGCACCACATGACTATGGATTGATCCTGGCCTGTGGGAGTTCTGATGGGGCCATTTCGTTATTGAGTTACACAGGTGATGGACAGTGGGAAGTAAAAAAGATCAGCAATGCACATACCGTAAGTGTGTGTCTATAACATATGTGTTGCCATATAGATAAATGCCGTACCCCAAAGAGTCTAGGTAAAGAGAGAACAAAGTGATGTACTGGTGGCAATAGGTGAGTTTCCTAGGATAAAAGAATGACAGTTTTTTTTTATGTTAGAAGTAAGCATTGGGGGGGGGAGTTGCTTTTTGTGGACATGTGATAAAACATGGTGACCCCAAGCAGATTAGATTTTTAAAGGGTAAAAACTTTAACACTCAGATTCTGTTCTGGCACAGATTGGGTGTAATGCTGTTAGCTGGGCCCCTGCTGTTGTACCTGGAAGCCTTATAGAGCAGCCATCAGGCCAAAAACCAAACTACATCAAAAGGTTTGCATCAGGTGGCTGTGACAACCTTGTCAAGATCTGGAAGTAAGTGTCCCATCATCTGACATCTATTCTGCTTCCTTCTAAGGGATCAGTTCCTTTGTTGATCCACTAGATGGCTTGCTAGAAGCCACTTACCACAAATAGTAATTTAAACAATGCCATGTTTTCCCGTTGCTTAAAAGTGTCTGTCTTAGAGGATGTTGAATGGAGATGGCTCTCTGATATTTACATCTTCTCATGGGCTAGTTCTCATTCAAAAGATCCTCTTTCACTTCGTATCTCAGGAAGCAAATACTTCCTTTGTGATTTTTAATTTTCCCTGGCTGTGCTGAAAGCAGTAGCAATATACAGGCAACCCTTGCCATTCACGGGGATATGTTCTTGAGATCCCTACGAATGGCAAAATACATGAATATGGCACTGCGTTCATGAACACAGTGGCCCCGGTGACTGGAGAAGGGCACGGCTGTGCTGGCAGTGGCAGGAGCCCGGCGGTGGCAAGCACAGCACTCCCAAGGAGCTCCTGTAAGTGTATTTAAGATGTGGGTTCGGCATTCGCAAATATTTAAAACCACGAATGCTAAACCCACGGATAGTGAGGATTTCCTGTAATTCCAATTCTGTATGTAGGCTATTGAAACTGAATTCTTTTACCTCTTGGGTAGACCCCTCAGGTTAAACATAAGGAAGTGGGTGAGGAGCATTTGTGTTTCCTATTTTGCGGCTAAACTGGCCACTTTCAGTATTGAGTACATTGCAAAACGGTGCTCCAAAGTGGGAGGCAGAGTAGACGTGATTGTTTGCTACCCCTTCAGGGAGGAGGATGGCCAGTGGAAGGAAGAACAGAAGCTGGAGGCTCACAGTGATTGGGTCCGAGATGTAGCTTGGGCACCCTCCATAGGCTTGCCAACAAGTACCATGGCTAGCTGTTCACAGGTAAGACTGTCACTGAAACAATTAATATGCTGGTTCTGAATGCTCTCATCTGTGTAACCATTCATGTGAAACGAAGTCAAGAGGTGTTAGAGCTATGGTAGATATAACAAATCATTCTGAGGAGGTGCTGGCAGTTATGTATGCGTGTAGGTTTCTGGCTTTCCCTTCTGTTAAGAAAATGATCTATAGAACTGAAGAGCTTAGATCTGTAAGAGACCTTATTGGACAAAGGAGAGGAGTGGCAGCGGAGTCTGGCAGTCTTATTTTCCTTGTAGGCAGGGAGGGTTCCACTGTGATTGTGCCTTGAGAAGGGGAATGGACTAAGATGACCTCCAAAGACCCCTTTCATGCCTACTTTTTCAAATGTTGGCTCTGTGCTGAAAGGCTCTTGGTGACTCTGGGTCAAACATGCCCAATTCACAGAGAAAAATACTTTCTCTGATCTTCAGGGCTGCAAAATGAGGGTGGGGTCTGTGAGACCTTCTTTCTGGCTCAGACATCCTCACCAAGAATAAAGGTTCTGTAGTGGTACTTATTGAAGCAGCTGTTGCTGCTCATGCTGGGGAAGAATCCCCCTCTCTCCTGTAGCTGGATTGGGTCTGTAAGCTTGGCAGACATAGTAGTAAGACATTAATTTAGGCCAAAAGTTAGATGATATGGCTTATTCTGGGAGCAGATCTTTCTTCCAACCTACTCTTCTGATTGCATGTGGTTTTTAATATTTCTTAATTAGACCATGTAAAAATACTCAGAACTGTGATTGGTATGTTTGTTCAAAATAGCTGCTTTTTGAAACAAACAGTATGTCACTGCATAGCCTCATTTTGGCATTGCCAAGGACAGCCATTGGTCTAACAACTTCTTTTGCTTTATCTAGGATGGCAGAGTGTTTATCTGGACATGCGATGATGCCTCTGGCAACTCATGGTCACCAAAGTTGCTACACAAGTTCAATGATGTTGTCTGGCACGTTAGCTGGTCTATCACTGCAAACATTCTTGCTGTGTCTGGAGGAGACAACAAAGTGAGTGTTGTATCTTAGAGCTGGCTCTTGCATGCAGATAAATAAGTGAACACAGTGGACAGTACTAGTTTAGTCTCTCAGCCAGCATCAAGTCTTTGTCCTCATCTTGGCCCCAGGGGATGCACAAGCCACTCTTCCTAATGGTATACTTCTTAATGCCAGTTTGAAAGTAGGAATTGTTTTCATGCAGTAGAAGCATTTTAAATAGCTCTATATTTTTAAGATAAGGTAAGATTGAGTATTTTGAAGGCAAATTATCCTTCCAGGATTCCAGTGTACCTAGAGTGGGAGCATGGGTGTAGTTTGATCAATAAACAAGATACTTATTGACCAGTAAATGAGGTTCTTTCCTCAGCTGCTTTATATGTATTAAGAATTAGGGATGTCATCAAATGCTCATTAAAGAGCAGCATCACCTGAAATTAAGAGTATGTGGAAACTTTTTGAAAAGCTTTAGAAAGGGAAAACTTCTCTGTGCATTGGACTCCAAAGCAGGGGAGTGGAAGGTATTGTGTTAAGATCTACTTCATATTTTGCTTCCAGGTCACTCTATGGAAGGAGTCCGTAGATGGATTGTGGGTGTGTATCAGTGACGTCAATAAAGGCCAGGGAGCTGTGTCTGCTATTACAGAGGGTCAGCAGAATGAACAGTGACAACTGGATTAACAGCAGCCTAGGCACAACGTGGGGGACTACGATCACTAAATCCAATTTGGCTGGCCTTTCTCAATCTGATATCCAATCTGATGAGCATTCTGTAACCATTATTGATAAACTACAGTGATCGTCAGCCTTAATTGACATTTGTCTGAAATTAAAGATGAACTACATTTGAAAATGCAGTACTCTGTACTGTTTCTCCATTATATGTAATCCCCTCATCACAGGATTGAGTTCTCTCAGATGTACCAGGATCCGACTTCCTTTTTTGCTGAAGGACTTTGGCACGTGAGAGTGGGGCCATCACTGCTCAGCACTGAACTGCGAGTTGTAGCTCTCCCAGATCATATTAGAAAGACATGATGTACGTATCTATGCAAAGTCCTGCATCCCCTTCTTTGGGGAGCTGGGAGAGCTTTCAGCTTCAGCTGTGATCTCACCATCCAACTCCTCCAAGGCCTTGAGCAGAAAGAGGAACTCAGATTTCAGTTCTTTGATGAAAGCAAGTTGGGAGGGAGGGAAGCCAAGAGACAGCTTTCCCATGGAAAGGAGCAGCAAGGTGTGCACAAGAGTGTTTTTGATTTACAGTCCATTAACTTGGTTAAAAGCTCTTATTTAAAAATCAGCCTCTAAATGATCTTAAAACTTAGATGTTAAACTGTTTCTTTTTTTAGCTACTTTTGTGTACTGGACCTCAGGTAACACTGTACTGTGTTTAGGTTTGAATTACAAAAAGGAATAAAGTCCTATTGGTTACGAAGTCTGGTGTATTGTACTAACCCTTTAAAAAAGGGAGTTATATTTGTAGCAGCTTTGCCATGGGTGTAGCCACAGTGTCCACATTTAGGCATTCTATACTTGTGTCTCTCATATGACCAGCAGTGATACTAGATCGGGGTAGGCAACATTTTTTGGCTGGACTGCCAAAAAAATCACAATGTCTACCTTGGAAGATGCCGGAGTGCCAGCATGCCAGAAAAACAAAATTGGGATTTCGGGGGGTGGAGTGGGGTGGTATGGTACATGGCAGGACACACTGCATGTTAGTATATTTAATAATCATAAATTTGCCTTTGTTGTGTACTTTTTTTGTTAAGCATGTTGCAGTGAGAGAGAGGGGGGAAAAAAAAGAAGAGAAAAAGGAGAGAGAACCAGGCACATATATGCACACAACCATATGTGCACAAACATGGAGAACTAGAACAGACACATGCGCGCACACACATCCAGAATCAGACACCTGTGGGTACACAGACCCAGATGCATGGGTGCACAGCCGGGCTGCCAGGCCACCAGATGAAGTCCAGCCCAACAATGCCCTGGGCCTGCCAAAGCCCCTGTGCTTCCCTGGGGAGCCAACCCCCAGGCTGCAGCATGGCCAGCTGAGGTCCCAGCCCAGAGTCTTCCCATCAGCCCAACCACTTCCCCGCTCCACACAGCTAAGCCTGCAAAGGTGTGGTGCTCCCTGGCAAGGGGCAGTGCCGGTCTCATCACAGTAGGGGGGCAGGGCCAGTGCTGGGCTTGGAGCAGGTAGGAATCGGGTGGGCTCAGCTGCAAACCCTGCTGTAAGCAGCCCAGGCTCTGTAGTTGGCAGCAGCTACCCAGAGCTGGGGCTGGCTACAGCCGGGAGTCTGCAAACAGCTGCATGCCTGCCTTGGAGTGGACAGTGGGGTGGGGGGGCCTCAGGCAGCACAACCCCAGCCTCCCCTGCTGCCAGCACACAGCTGATGGTGGGCTCCAGACCAGCTGCTTGTAGCTAGCATGGGCTCGGCAGCTGCAGCAAGCAGGCCACAAACAGCTGTGCCAGGCTCCACAGCTCCAGCATCAGCTCCATGCTTGACTGTGTGCAGAACAGACGAGAGGGATAGGGCCTGGCCCTGAGGCAGCAGAGCTCTCCTGCTGTCTGCTCTGAGGTACATGCGCAGGCACCACTAGCATGGAGCTGATGCCAGAGCTGTACAGCCTGGCACAGCTGTTCACAGCTGCCTTGCTGCAGCTGCCCAGAGCCCAGGCTGGCTACACACAGCTGCCATCTTCTGGGAACAGCCCAAGCTCCATGGTTGGCAGCAGCTACCCAGAACCAGGGATGGGGATGGCATGCTGAGCAAAACAGCCTTGCATGCCATGCTCAGCACCCATGCAGGTGGTTGCCAACCCCTGTACTAGATGGTTCCTTGGAAACCTTTTGACATGCTGAATACCATATGCTGTACTGGCTTCAGTTCATTGCTAAGGACCAACCCGTTAATGAGTCCCAGAGAAAGGAAACAAAACTTGGTGCACTTCATCTAATGCAATTTTCAACTTGGGTTGTCTCATCCTGTGAGAATTTTGTATTCTTCAATATGTGGTCTCTTGGGGAGATAAAACTTAAGGACTACAGGTTGTTGGTAAGTGCTTGGTTGTAGCCCTAACCACTAATGTAGTATCCCCAGGCTAAAACTGAATGCAGCCTAAGCATCTGGCTATACTTACAGCTGAAAGGCAATTGAAGTCAGTCCTCATGACTTCTTTATATTTTCCCACTCTTGAGGTCAAAAAAGGACAGCCATTGGTTAATCCTTCCCCAGTTGCTCAGAGGAGACATTGCAGAAGGATTTTACACTAATTCATGCTTGACACAAATATGTACCATTCATTTTCTGTGTGGCAACAGAATACATTTGTATAAGGAAGAACAAAGTTATCCAAGACCAACATTTCCTGCGACATCACAAATGTTTCTGGTTAAAAAGAATACATTTCCCTTCAATCTTTAAAATACCTTTGATATTAGCTGGTTCTTTTCACAGCACAGGTACTCAGTGTATAGGATCAGGGGAAAGTAGGCTGGAATGTCACAAGTTCATTTAGTCTAGCCCCCAGCTCAAGGCAGGATCATCCCTGACTACACAATTCCAGCATGTTTAATCTGCTCTTGAAAACATTCAAGGATGGAGATTCCATAACTTTTCTGGCAGGCTGTTCCAAGGCCTGGCCACCCACATAGTCAAAACAATTTGATCTCCAACCTAAATTTCCTCTGCTGCAGCTTGAGGTCATTGCCCCTTGTCCTGTCCCCTACACCCAGAGAAAAAAAAATCTCCATTGTCTTTATAAATTAGCTTTACAGCTAACAAAGCTTAAAATTCTGTTTCAAGTTAAGCACACGCCAAATTGGGCCTTACACTTTCAGGTGATCACCCCATTTTTACAAACTTTTTCAGTGGTTTCAGGAAGACCTAGGGAGATCCTTGGCTGCCCTGGCAGTTCCATTCTGAACTGGGGGCAGGCCTGACTTTCCTGTCTTTTATCTCAGATCTGCAAACTTCAGAACAGCCAAAGGCCTCTTTTTTAAAAGGAGAGTGTGCAAGAGTTTAGGTCTCAAACTTAGGTTTGAAGAGTGCTGTTATTTTCCAAAACATGGATCTGCAAAAGTCAGTCCCACACTGCACTGTTATCTCAACTGTTTCAAGTTTGAATCTGTTCAGCCTAACAGAAGGGTAGTTGGGGCTGAGAATGAAACCTGGGACTAAAGAGGTAGACTAAATTTGTGGGGGCTCCTGCATCTTCCAAAACTTGACCAATGTAAAACTGCTGAAGACAAACTGCTCCTTCATACTGGCTGTGTGGGGCTAACAAATGTAGCTGTCTGGTGGGACCCAGCAGTAGCCTGGGAAGGGTTTCCCTGTCTGGAGGTGCTAGCCTTAATCATGGTTTACAGAAATGATTCCTCCAGTTGTCCCCTGCTGCCAGCTACTTTCTTCTCCCTGGTACAGGCAACTCAGCAGATGCACCTCCCTGAGCTTGGCTCCACGTTTCATTTCTACAAGTCACAGTTCTTCAAGGATCCTCAGGGCTAGTTGTTGGGAGGTCCTATGGCTCCATACTAACCCCTTGCTCCTCATGTCCTCTGGCTCCACCTCAGCTCCTCCCACCTGGAGAGACTTCTGTAGAGGTGTTGGTGGGGGCGATAAACAGTGCCACAGATACAGCGTCTTCCTGCTGTGCTCCCTGGACAAAGATCTCCTGCTACCTGGACTGTAAAGCAACTCAAACAATGTTTTAGAAAAATAAAGTCACAGACTTTTCAGCCAAGGGTAGGACCCTGATAATGTGAAATGTTTGATGTCAGTGGGAGTTGAGTTTGTATTGAAAGAAAGGACTGCTTTTAAAAAGTAGAAACATTTATTTAAAAATATAAAAAATTAGTTATCAACATTTAATTACAATAATTACGTACACTGCAAAACATATTTGACAAAAATACTGGGATCCAAGCACTCAATGATCAGAACTGCAAGTGTGTAGAGCAGACATTTCCACTTCATTTTACTGGAATATGAAGAAAGAGCCAAGGAGTTAAACACTGAAGCTAGTTGAACAAAATTTTCAATCAAGGCTCAGTTTTGTGTAGTTTTCCCAGAGCCAGGCATGATATATATTTAATTTGTGATCTTGTGGGCGTACCTGAAAGATAATCCAGGCATTAGATTTAATGTTTAATCAAAAAGTTTTGTATTAAAACACTCTGTAGCACTGAAGCATGTCTCTGAGAAGCCTCCACACTCAGCTCCAACATGCAGAACAAGGATAAGAGTGCAGCATGTTCCTGAAATAAGGGGAATAATGTCTGATCACCTACGCGATAGTACTTGCACCAACTGAGAAGCCAACTTATATGATAATCTTGCTGTATTGAGTACAACTGCCATGCCCAACAACTTGTGAGCAGGAGAAAGGCCTGGTGAGGGTGTGGAGTTTGGACAGAGTGGAGAGAGAGGAAATAAAGGTAAGTCAGAGAAGACAGTAGGCATTAGAGCTGACATGTAGAAAGGATACTCAGACCTTTGCACAGGGCGGATCCAAGAAATGTAAAAATAAAGCAGGGAATTAAAGAAAACTGACAAATTTAGGGCAAGAGCAAGTGTTTCTAAGATCAGGGCCTTAAAAGTATTCTGCAAGTTCTTCCTTGTTTCAATCTGAAAATTGATTATTTTGTCTTTGTTTTTGTTTTTAATCCCCACGGTTATGCTGAACAAAGCCAAAGCCAGCTGATGTCAAAGGCAAGACTCTTGCTGCCTTTGACAAACTTTGGATCCAGCCTATCTGAATGGCAGCATCACTTACCTCCTTCCACTCATTAACACAAAAGATTCTGTAGGAATCATTTCCATATTTTCCAATTCCATGCAGTTCAATAGGGTACTTCCATCGCTTGCTCAGATACTCATCTAGAGAAAATAATCCCATCCTTTACCACATGAAGACAAATGTACTTATTGAAAAGCCTCACAAGAAAATCCCAATAAATACTTCAAATCTGGACAAACCCTTAATTTTTTCCCCCATTAAAAACAACCAAAGTTCCCACTTTATATAAAACCTCTAAAACTTTAAGTTTTTTACATTAGCAACAGACGGAGAATTCAAAACAACCAGAGCTGGGGTTGTAATGCCATTTCCTTACTGACATCTATTTAGGTCAGTGGTGGCCAACTTGAGGCACAGGTGCTACAGGATATCACGTGCAGCCTCTGTATGTGACATGTGGCAGATTGAGGAAAGGACAAGTAGCAACAGCCTGGTCAGGGAGCGAAAAGCTGAGCAGCAGCTGAGGTAAAGCAAAGGGATCAGAATGGCATTCAGGGAGTTTGGGGCTAATTTGTGGCTTGCCTGCCAGAAAGGTTGACCTAAACCAGTGGGAGCCATTCTACCAAAATGTTCAAAATTACCTGAAAACTTGATAATGGTCTTCGCTCTCAGTTCATAGAGGCC